TTTGGATGTCTTCTTTGGAAAAATGTATATTCAGATCCTCTACCCATCTTTAAATTTATTAATAGTAATCTTTAGAGGGTTTTTTTTTTTTGCTATTGAGTTGTATGAATTCTTTATATATTTTGGAAGTTAATCCTTTATGAGATAATATGGTTTGCAAATATTTTCTCCCAAATTGTAGATTGCCTTTTCATTTTGTTGATGCTTTCTCTTGCTGTACAGAAGTTTTTAGTTTGCTATGGTCCCACTTATCTATTTTTGCTTTTGTTGCCTTTGCTTTTGGTGTCAAGTCCAAAAAATCATTGCCCACACCAATGTCAAAAAGCTCACTCCCTGTTTTCCTCTATGAATTTTATGGTTTCAGGGTAGCATCATTTTTTAAATTATCAAATTTAAGCTCAAAAAGATTGAGTGACTTATCCAAAGTCTTACAACCAATAAAATGGTAGAAGCATGTCCAGGTATAAAGCTAGGGGGGTTTTAAGTATTGGTGAGGATGTAGAGAAAAAGGAACCCTCATGCACTGTTAGTGGGAATGTAAATTGGTACAGCCACTGTGGAAAACAGTATGGAGGTTCCTCAAAAAATTAAAAATAGAAATACTATATGATCCAGTAATTTCACTACTGGGTATTTACCCAAAGGAAACAAAAACACTAATTCAAAAAGATATACGCACCCCTAACTTTTATTGCAGCATTATTTACAATGCCCAAGATATGGAAGCAACTCAAGTGTTCATCCGTAGATGAAATGATAAATGAGATGTGGCATCCATCTGCAATGGAACATTACTCACCCATAAAAAAAAGATCTTGCCATCTGCAACAACATGAATGGACCTAGAAGGCTTAATATCAAGTGCGGTAAGTCAGTCTGAGAAAGACAAATACCATATGATTTCACATATATGTGTAATCTAAAATATAAAACAAACAAAACCAGACTCCAATACAGAGAGCAAACTGGTGGTTGCCAGAGGGAAGGTGGCAGGGGGATGGGCAAAATAGATAAAGGGGATTAGGAGGTACAAACTTCCAGCTATAAAATAAATAAGTCACAGAGATGAGAAGCACAGCATGGGGAATATAGTCAATAATTCTGTAATAATATTGTCTGGTGACAATTGATGTCTACACTCATCACGGTGAGCACTGAGTAATGTTTAGAACTGGTAAATCATTATGTTATACATCTGAAACTAATATAACACTGTATGTTAATTATACTTCGATGAAAGTATATTTTAAAAAAGAAAGCAGGGGCGCCTGGGTGGCTCAGCTGGTTAAGCGACTGCCTTCGGCTCAGGTCATGATCCTGGAGTCCCGGGATCGAGTGCCGCATCGGGCTCCCTGCTCGGCAGGGAGTCTGCTTCTCCCTCTGCCCTCTTCCCTCTCGTGCTCTCTGTCTCTCATTCTCTCTCTCTCAAATAAATAAATAAAATCTTTAAAAAAAATTAAAAGAAAGCAAACATTTCTAAAGTCTTTTATATTTGAGTATATTTGACACACAATGTTACATTAGTTTCAGATATACAACATAATGATTCGACAAATTTATACATTATGCTATGTTCACCACAAGTGTAGCTGCCATTGAATCAACACATTGCTGTTACAATAGCATTGACTATATTCCTTATGCTGTGCCTTTTCTTCCCATGACTTATTCATTCCATAATTGATAGCCTGTATTTCCCACTCCCCTTCACCCAACCCCCAGCCCCCTTCTCCTCTGGCAACCATCAGTTTGTTCTCTGTACTTAAAGGTCTGATTCTGCTTTTTGCTTGTTTGTTTTATTCATTTGCAGTTTTTTTTAGATTCCATTTATGAGTAATATCATATGGTATTTGTCTTTCTCAATCTTATTTCACTTAACATAATAACCTCTAGGTCCATCCATATTGTCTCAAACGGCACAATCTCATCCTTTTTATGGCTCTGTAATATTCCATTGTGCATATACCACATCTTCCTTATCCACTCATCTGTTGACGGACACTCAATTTGCTTCCATATCTTGGCTATTGCAAATAGTGCTGCAATAAAAAACAATAAAAAAAAATACTTTGTAAGCTAAAGAGCACTATGCACAAATAAGATAGTATTGTTTATTACTATTTAAATCATTTATTTTTATGTACTATACAGTGGCTAACTGAACATAATAAAAAAAGAAAATTAATTTCAAAGATGACTATTATTATGTATTAAATTTACTGTTGAAGATTAAAAATATAATTTAAACCATAAATAAATTTAACAAAAAAAATCATTTATTTTGCCCCTGAAATAATTTTTTAAGTATACAAAAACAAACTTTCAGGGGACCTGGGTGGCTCAGTCAGTTGAGCTTCTGACTCTTGATTTCAGCTCAGGTCATGATCTCAGGGTCCTAGGGTAGAGGCCCAAGTCAGGCTCCCTGCTCAGTAGGGAGTCAGCTTGTCTCCCTCTCCTTTTGCCCCTCCTCTGCTCTCTCTCTCTCAAATAAAATCATCTTTAAAAAAACTTTCACAATCCAGGAATTAAGTTATACTACATATCTGCTTAAGAAATTATACAAAATTAGAAGTGTATTTTAAAATTCTGTTATATATGAATATCTTTTCAAAACATTTAAATAAAGGTAACATAATTTTAACCTAAAAAGAAATAAGTCAATCAGAGAAACACAATTATCATATGGTTTCATTCATATGTGGAACATAAGGAATAGTGTAGAGGATAATAGGGAAAGGGAGGGAAAACTGAATGGGAAGAAATCATTGAGGGAGACAAACCATATGAGACTCTTGACTCCAGGAAACAAACAGGGTTGCTGAAAGGGAGGTTGGTGGGGGGATGGGGTAACTGGGTGATGGAAATTAAAGAGGGCATATGATACGATAAATAAATAAATAAATAAATACTAATAATGGATTGATGAAATAACCTTAACTTTAAAACAACACAGTTGTTAAACTATGATGAAAAAGAAAAAGAGGAAAGGAAGGAAGGAAGGAAGGAAGGAAGGAAGGAAGGAGAGAGAGAGAAGAAAGAAAGAAAGAAAGAAAAAAGAGAAATTTCAACCTCATAAAGAAAATCAACTATTTTTCTCAAATCAGAGAAACAAAAATTGGGGCACCTGGGTGGCTCAGTCAGTTGAGCATCTGCCTTCAGCTCAGGTCATGATCCCAAGATCCTGGGATTGAGCACCGCGTCCAGCTCCCTGCTCAGCGGGGAGCCTGCTTCTCCTTCTCCCTCTGCCTCTGCCTGCTGCCCACCCCCCAGGGGGATTTTAAAATCTTTAAAAAAACAAAAACAAAAATTGTTTTTCCTTTAAGATGAAAATAAATACAACTTGAATAAAGGAAGCTGGAACTAAAGTTTGCTTTAAAAAACATTTTATAATGACACTGAAGAGGTTTTTTTTATCTTTTTTTTATGTTACATTAATCACCATACATCATTAGTTTTTCATGTAATGTTCCATGATTCATTGTTTGCGTATAACACCCAGTGCACCCATTCAATACGTGCCCTCTTTAATACCTATCACCAGGCTAACCCATCCCCCCACCCACCTCCCCTCTAGAACCCTCAGTTTGTTTCTCAGGGTTAGCCTGGTGGTGGGTATTGAGGAGGGCACATTCTGCATGGAGCACTGGGTGTTATGCACAAACAATGAATCATGGAACACTACATCTAAAACTAATGATGTAATGTATGGGGATTAACATAAGAATAAAAAAATAAAATAAAATAAAAAATAAAACCTAAAAAAAAAAAGAATTCCTCATATCACTGAGGTCATATGATACATGTCTTTCTCTGATTGACTTATTTCGCTCAGCATAATACCCTCTAGTTCCATCCACATTGTTGCAAATGGCAAGATTTCATTCTTTTTGATGGCTGCAGAATATTCCATTGTGTATATATATACCACATCTTCTTTATCCATTCATCTGTTGATGGACATCTTGGCTCTTTCCATAGTTTGGCTATTGTGGACAAGAGGTTTTTATTCAACAAAATAGGATCATAAAAGAAAATTCTAATACTTAAAAATGGTTAAGATGGAAAATTTTGTTGTGTGCCTTTTACCACAATAAGAAAATAGGGAAAAGTGGGAAAATATACAGTTTTTACACCAAGAAATTCTTTCATGTACTCAAAATAGTCTTAGATGCATATATATTGGTAAGTAAAGGAAAAATTCCTAATATGTTTAAAAAGATAAGAAAAAAAGACCTCAAAATTTACCAGAGTTTGTGTAGTGGACTTATGGGTGATTTTCTATGTTTTCATTTTTTTTACATTTTCTTTGTCCTTCTAAGTAGCTGTGTGTCATTTAATATTTGAGGGAAAGTAAATCTACCATGGAATAAAAGGTGGTGTTGTGACTCCCGCCCAGCCCCTCCATGCCCGAGAGTTATCCCTAGCAGATCCTCCTGCATTTGTGTGTGTGTCTCATGGAGACTCGTGGCTGGGTGAGCATGACAAAGAGCCCTGCTGATGGTGTGCCTGGATCCCAGCTCCTTCCTGGGAGCACGCCTGTCAGGTTGAGGATTTCTCATCATCATGTCTTCCCCTCCCACATGCCTCATTCCCACCTGTCTCCCACTTGACTCCACCCCACCCAACAACCTTGAAGGCAGGTGTCCAACCATTGCCACCCTCTGAGAAGAGAGGAGGACAGTCCCATTGCCCAGATGGGGGTGAACACGAATGTGTCAGGTGTGCATCTTCCCACATCCTGTCATGTTCTGGTGCTGACACCCACAGTCTGGACCTGGGGCCTTAGAAGGGATGTCCACAAGTTCAGGTAGGAAACTCTGCTCTGGGGGACCCAGTTGCCTGCCCTGACTCAGCATGATGCCATGAGTCCTTTCAGGCTCTAAAAGTCCTGTTGCCCTGATTGGAATGTAGAGGAGAAAATATTCTTCCCTGCTTTGATGCATTCTTGTCTAGCTGCTTCTTATTAAACTGTTATTTTTAGCCAGTGATGTGTAGCCCCTGCTCTATGGGTCCCTGAGCTACTCAAAAGGACCTGGTTCATGGGACTCTTTCCTCTCAGGTTTAGGAACAGGAGGCCAGGAAGCCACCCTGCAATGACTCAGCTATTAGCAGCTTCCTGTTGCTTCTTCATTTCCCATCTATTATGGGCTCTAATTAAAGGGAATTCCCCCAGAGACATCCTGAGGCATCTGGAAAAGGATTGACATTGGGATTTGAGGAAGTATTTAATGAGGATTGTGAGGTGTACTTGGACCACTGTGAGAAAAGTGGGTAAAAACCATCAAAGGGTGGGGGCTTGACCATCTGCTTCCATCCTTGGGGGTGAATGATGAGTATCACCCTGGATAGCCCCTAGGCCATGACTCCCTCCACTGCCTCAGAATTGACTGAGAGCCCATGCCCTGACTAGAGCCCACCCCAGGTCTCCAATGGTGCCAACAGGACCACAGGGGAGGGTCTGGAGCCTGACTTAGTGCCTCTGTTTTTTTTCACAAGGCCTGCAGAAAGGGGTGCAGACCTCCTTCCTGCCCCCATCATAGCACAGCAGAGTGTCTGAATCTAGGTGCCCTCAGGCCCAACCAGAGAGCAGAGATGAGCAGAACAGTGAGCAGGCGTTTGGAGCAGCTGGCTCCAGCTCAGACCTGCCCCAGGTGTACCACCTGGCACTTGCATCCATCCAGACTTCACTGTGGGGTCAGGCGGCAGACCAGGGCCTCTGACCTGGGGGAACTTACTCCTTTGGGAAGTGATCCTTTATCTTGTTGTATTCCAGACATTAACATGTGTGAACAACCCTTGAGAAGGTCCTGTGCAGCCTACGCTGACTGCCAGGGCATGGATGGCAGGTACTGCATGTGTGGCCCGGGACAGGAGCTCATTTCTGAGACAGTGTTCAGGAATGAGAGTGAGAATATGTGTCAAGGTAAGAATGGCTTTGCACCTTCCATCTCCCCATCCATGAGGTCTGGGGTCACTCAGCTCACTTTCTCCAAGCATCAGAGAGATATTCTGGGCACCGACCTGTGTCCTATCCCTCTCCAGACCCCAAGGCTCAGATCCTTCTGCAGAGTGCCACTCACACAATTTTGGAATGTCTCCCTTGCCATGTGGCACTTTATTTTCAGAAAACAGAGGGGTGGCATCCAGGATACTTCACAAGCTCACAGTGCAATATCGGTTTCTTCTGCTTCATCAATGGCAGCCAGGATGAGACCTTCCCTACCTCCCTGGAATCCACACAGGCTCGGCCACACCAGGATGGACCCAGGAACCCTGTCCAGAAATGTGGGAAGTGGGGAGATTCAAGGGTAGGCCCACCTTCCCTGGCCATCCCTGCCCGTGGCCAATAACCCCACCTGGAGAAGGCTCCTCCTGGCACAGTGAACTGGCTTCTTGGCCTCCCAGCTCTAATTCCCCATGCAAGGCTCTGCCCTGAACCTCCCCGATAATTTTAGTTTATAGACCTGTGGGCAACCCGGGACCAGGAAGATGTTGTGTGGGGCTGGGCAGAGTGATGTGGACCACCCTACACACACACTCTAAAATTTAGGTGAATGGAAGATGCTGCCATCTGGACTGGATATAAAGAGAAGGGACCATTGCCAGAGGCCTGAGCCTCTTCCAAGGAGGTCAGTCAAGGCCCCACGTTGACCCAGACCATCAGGGACAAAAGATGGAGGCCAAGCCCCATTCAGCTAGGCCCAGTGTGTGCATCCCTGGTGGGAGGCCAAGGGCCAAGAAGACAGAAACATCTGCCACTTCTTGCCCATCAGCACCTACTCCCCTCTCCAACCACCCTGCCCTCACCCACTGCTGGCCTTGCTCAGATGCGGATTCTCACCACTTCCTGCCCGTCCAGGGGATGCCTTCACAGGGATCCAAAAAGGCAACTCCACTGTCCCAAGGCTGCCTGACTGGATGTTAGCCCCATTGTCTACCACAGCCCTGGTTCCCACTGTCCAGGTGACCCTGCCTGTCCAGCATCACTTTCATTCTCTTGACTCTTTGCCTCAAGCCCCTTAAAGGGCCTGGCTCAGGTATGGGTCTTGTCCATCTCCGTGGAGCTGGAGTCTCAGAGTTAGCATGGATGGGAGCATGCTCTCCTGCCAGGACAACGGAGATACCAAAGGTTATGCAGGCAGTGAGAATCCACCTGGGGAAAGTCAGGACAAAGGCCATAGCTGGGAGTCATGATAGGTCCTGGTCGGGAATGCAGCATTTCCCCTGCACGTAGTTCCCAGGAAAGCCCACCCTGGACTTGTTCAAGTCTTCAGGTTGGGACTCAGGTGGCTGTGACATCCCCACCCCATCTGGAGTAAGCTGAGGGCACCAGGCTTGACAGATTGAGAGGGCTTGGGCCACTTCCATCCACATCTGGACAACAGACCATCTGGCCACACTATTATCCCATAGGATGCTCCATGTGAAATAGAAAAAGCACCCATTCACCATGGAGGAGAGAAAGGGCCTTCTCCAAGCAGATTTCTGCTATTGCCATAGAACAAAGAACCTGCATATGGGCAAGACACATGGATTGGAAGAGTTTCTCCTTCAAGATTTACTCCCCTCGGAGGGAGAGACAAACCATGAGAGACTATGGAGTCTGAGAAACAAACCGAGGGTTCTAGAAGCGAGGGGGTTGGGGGATTGGTTAGCCCGGTGATGGGTATTAAGGAGGGCACGTACTGCATGGAGCACTGGGTGTTATACGAAAACAATGGATCGTGGATCACTACATCAAAAACTAATGATGTATTGTATGGTGACTAACATAACATAATAAAATAAAATTTAAAAAAATAAATAAATAAAAATTAAAAAAAAAATAGATTTACTCCCCTCCTTTGGGAGAGGTTGGAGTTTCTACGTTGTGTCCCTGACATCAGCTGTCTGTGTATATTCTGTCCCCTCACCTGTAGCACCTGGGGATCCATGAAGCCTGTGGTTATCCTTGACTGACTTCTTGGGGAGTCCAGGGAGATGGAGAGGACAGGCTGAGTCTTGGTTCTGTGTGCAGTATAGGAGCCTCTTGGATCCTGCTGGAAAGCCATGGGCTGCAGGCAGAACCACCCCCCAGAAGGCAATGACCATGCAGACATGGGTTGAAACTGGAACTTGACTCTCCTCTCTTTTTCATCTGTTTTTCTGTCCCAGGGGTCTTAGTGCTGCTACTGTTGACACTGGGACCTGTACGGAAACTGAAAGGTGAGTCTGCCCAGCCAGCCCCATTGGTGACATAAGCTGGGGAGTGCATGCTGGGGTCTGGGTTTTCTCACCAATAAGGGGTAGGGAAGGGAGCTTATTCCACAAGTAAGTCTCACAGGTGGTCTTCTGGGTATCCAAGAAGCTGCTTCCTCCTCCCTAAATGTCCAGAGTTTTCTGAGCTCTTCCAATGGCAGCTATACCTTCCCTCCCCTCCCCTGCTCTATTCCTGGACCCCCAACTGGCAGCTGGCTCCCTCCATTTCTTGAGCCTTCTGACTGTGGTCTTCGTCCCCACAGCCTCTGCCCCCACAGACTGTGCTCAGTGGTGCCCTCCGAAATCCACGTGTGTCAATGCCACTGCCTGTCGCTGCTCCCCAGGATTCAGTTCTTCATCCAGGGAGATCTTCACCAGCCTGTTGGAGAGTTGTGATGGTACAGGGGCTTGGGGTGGTGGAGAGGCACGGAGACGGAGGGGGGAAATGGTGGAGCATCCCAAGCCCTCAGCCTCACTGACAGCAGCACCCAGCACTTCATCAAGGAAAAGAGAGAGGTGACAAGGCAGGGGGAGTATGAGGGAAGCGGACCATCAGGTTTTCATGATCAGTAGGTAGAGTGTTGAGAACTTACACAGCAAAGCTGAGCAATGTGGGTTCAAAGTCCAGCTCACCACTGATTACATCTGACATGTAGGAAATTATTTCTCCTCTCTATGCTTCAGTTTGCTTGTCTGTAAACTGGGGACAATCATTGTACCTACCCCCCATGGATGGAGTGAGATTTAAAATTCATGTGTGTGAAGAATAGGTAAAGACTAGTACAGAACAGACTGTCAGACGCAAGTTATTATCATGGTCACTACTGTTATTACTGTGATGATTCTCATAGCACAAGGAAAGGGGAGAGTAATGGAAGCAGCAAGAGGAAGCAACAGAGCCTGGAAGCTCAGGGTCTTCTAGCATAAGCTCACTGGGAACTCCTGCCCCCTCATGGTCATTGTTTCCCACCTCGCTCCTCACAGCAGCCCCATGAGGCAAGCAGAGCTAGCATAGTTTTTATTTTCCACCTACACCCATTTTGCCCACCCCCACCAATTCCTCCCCACCTCCAGCACCCACTCATCTCTTCTATGAGTTCTGTTTTGTTTGTTTTTAGATTCCACATTTAGGTGAAATCATATGTCATTTATCCTTTTCTCTCTAACATATCTCACTTAGCATAATGCCCTCAAGATCCATCTGTGTTGTTGCAAATGGCCAGATTGCCTTCTCTTTTATGGCCGAGTGATATTCCCCTGTATACATACACCACTTTTCATCATCTATTCATGCACTGATAGAAACAGGTTGTTTCCTTATCTTGCTTGTTATAAATGCTGCAATGAACATGAGGATGCAGATATCTTTCCAAGTTAGTGTTTTTGTTTCCTTCAAATAAATACCCAGAGTGGAATTGCTGGATCATATAGTAGTTCCATTTTTAATTTTTTGAGGAAACTCCAGATTTTTTCTCACAATGGTTGCACTAATTTGCATTCCCTCCAACAGGGAGCAAGGTTCCCTTTTTCCCACATCCTCACCAATACTTGCTATTCTATCTTTTTTATAATAGCCCTTCCAACAGGTGTGAGGTGAAATCACATGGTTTGGATTTGCATTTCCCTGATGATGAGTGATGTTGGGTACCTTTTCATACACCTGTTGGCCATTTGGATGTCTTCTTTGGAAAATGTCTATTCAGATTCTATGCCCATTTTTAAATTGGATTGTTTAGGTTTTTTCTATTGTGTTGAATGAGTTCTTTATATTTTTTGGATGTTAATCACTTCTCAGATATATGATTTGCAAATATTTTCTCCTAAATTACAGATCACCTTTTCATTGTGTTGATGGTTGCCTTGACTTACAAAATCTTTTTAGTTTGGCGTATTCCCACTTCTTTTTTTTTTTTAACTTTAGTTTATTATGTTAGTCACCATACAATATATCATTAGTTTTTTGTTTGTTTGTTTTGTTTTAATTTACATTTATTTCACTGAATACTGTTGGCAATGAAAATTTTTCGTATTTTTTTTTGTGGAAAGAGCCAAGATGTCCATCGACAGACGAATGGATAATGAAGATGTGGTATATATATGCAATGGAATATTATGCAGCCATCAAAAGGAATGAAATTTTGCCATCATTAGTTTTTGATGTGGGGATCCACGATTCATTGTTTTCATGCAACACCCAAAACTCCATGCAGTACATGCCCTCCTTAATACCCATCACCAGGCTAACCCATCCCCCCACCCCTCTCCCCTCTAAAACCCTCAGTTTGTTGCTCAGAGTCCATAGTCTCTCGTGGTTCATCTCTCCCTCTGATTTCCCCCCCTTCATTTTTCCCTTCCTTCTCCTAATGTCCTCCATGCTATTCCTTATGTTCCACAAATAAGTGAAACCATATGATAATTGACTTTCTCTGCTCGACTTATTTCACTTAGCATGATCTCCTCCAGTCCCATCCATGTTGATGCAAAAGTTGGGTATTCATCCTTTCTGATGGCTGAGTAATATTCCATTGTATATATGGACCACATCTTCTTTATCCATTCATCTGTTGAAGGGCATCTCTGCTCTTTCCACAGTTTGGCTATTGCAACATTGGTGCTCTGAACATTGGGGTGCATATGGCCCTTCTTTTCACTACATCTGTGTCTTTGGGGTAAATACCCAGGAGTGCAATTGCTGGGTCATAGGGTAACTCCATTTTTAATTTTTTGAGGAACCTCCACACTGTTTTCCAAAGTGGCCGTACCAACTTGCATTCCCACCAACAGTGTAAGAGGGTTCCCCTTTCTCCACAACCTCTCCAATATTTGTTGTTTCTTTCCCTGTCCATTTTTGCTGTTCTAACTGGTGTAAGGTGGTATCTCAATGTGGTTTTGATTTGAATTTCCCTGATGGCTAATGATGATGAACATTTTTTCATGTGTCTGTTAGCCATTTGTATGTCATCTTCAGAGAAGTGTCTTCATGTCTTCTGCCTATTTTTTGACTTATTTGTTTTTTGGGTGTTGAGTTTGAGTTCTTTATAGATCTTGGATACCAGCCTTTTATCTGTAGTGTCATTTGCAAATATCTTCTCCCATTCTGTGGGTTGCCTCCTTGTTTTGTTGACTATTTCCTTTGCTGTGCAGAAGCTTTTTATCTAGATGAAGTCCCAAAAGTTCATATTTGCTTTTGTTTCACCTGCCTTTGGAGATGTATTTTGAAAGAAGTTGCTGTGGCCGATGCCAAAGAGGTTATTGCCTATGTTTTCCTCTAGGATTTTGATGGATTCCTGTCTCACATTGAGGTGTCTCATCCATTTTGAATTTACCTTTGTGTGTGGTGTTAGAGAATGGTCGAGTTTCATTCTTCTGCATGTAGCTGTCCAATTTTCCCAGCACCATTTGTTGAAGAGACTGTCTTTTCCATTGCATATTTTTTCCTGCTTTGTTGAAGATTATTTGACCATAGAGTTGGGGGTCCATATCTGGGCTCTCTATTCTGTTCCATTGGTCTATATGTCTGTTTTTGTGCCAGTACCATGCTGTCTTGGTGATCCTTGCTTTGTAATGTAGCTTGAAATTAGGCAACGTGATGCCCCCAACTTTGTTTTTCTTTTTCAATGTTTCCTTGGTGATTTGGGGTCTTTTTTGATTCCATACAAATTTTAGGATTGTTTGTTCCAGCACTTTGAAGAATGTCATTGGAATTTATCTTTGCTTTTTGGAGTCAAATCCAAAAAATCTGTGCTGAGACCAATTTCAAAGACCTTATCCCCTGTGCTTTTTTCTATGAATTTTATAGATTCATTTTTTTTAATTATCATAACTGGGATCAAAGAGATTGATTTATCCAAAGTCACAGTTAATAATGTAGAACCTAGACCAAGGTCTAAAACAAAAGAGTTCTTATTCTTCAACAATGCAGGATCATAAAAGAAATTTATATGACTTAAGTATGGTTAACATGGTAAATTTTATATTATGGGCATTTTACCACAATAAAAAAATTAGTAGGGAAAAGGGAAAATAAACAATTTTCACACCAAGAAATATTCTTCATCTAATCATCTTAGATGCATATTTATTAATAAAAAGGGAAAATGTTCCTAGTATGTTTGAAAAGCTGAGGAAAAAAATATCCTAAATCTTCTCTAGTAGTCCATATAGAGTGGACTTACAGCTGATTTTCTTTGTTCTCATTTTTCACATTTTCTTTGTTTTCTAAGATCCATGTGTCATTTAGTACTTGGGGAAAAGATGTTATCAGATGAAAAAAAAAGTTGTTGTGACTATTAGCCAGCTTTGGTGCATTTGCATGTGTGTCTCATGGAGACTCGTGGCTGGGTGAACAAGGCAAGGAGATCCTACTGCTAATATAACTGGATCCCAGCTCCTTTCTGGGAGCACATCTGTCTGGTTGAGGAGTTTCCTGTCCTCATGCCTTCCACACCTTGCACCTCATTCTCAACTGACCCCCACTCAACTCCACCCCATCCCACAACCTTGAAGACAGGCCATTGCCACCATCTGAGAAGAGAGGAGGGCAGTCCCATTGTCCAGATGTGGGACAACATGAATGTGTCAGATGCGCATCTTCCCACATCTGGTTGTGTCCTGGTGTTGACATCCACAGCCTGGAGCCTTAGAAGGGAAGTCCAAGGTGCAGAGAAGAAACTCTGAATGTATTGGAATGCATAGGACCAAATATTCTGTCCCTGCATTTTGATTCATTCTTGTGTCCATGGTTCTTATAAAATTGTTGTTATTTTTAGCCAACAGTGTCCAGCCTCTGCTCTATGAGTCCCTGAGCTGCTCAAAGAGGACCTGGCTAATGGACATCTTTCCTCTCATGTTTAAAGAACCAGGAGAGATAAGATGCCAGATAATATCCCCAATGACTCAGCTGTGAGACACTTCGTGTAGCTTCTTCATTTCACATCCCCAACGTCTCTGACAAGAGGGGACTTCCTTCAGGAGTGGAGATAGTAGGACTCCCACAGAGACATCTTTGGGCATCTTAAAAATGCCAGACCTGGGCACCTTTGGGGAGCGGGTGATGAAGACTGTGGGGTGAACTTGGGCCACTGTGAGTAATGGGAGGTGGAGCCTGTCAATGGGCAGGGGCCTAATCACCTGGCTTTATCCTCAGGTGTGAAAGAGTGTTACCCTGGACAGACTCCAGCCATGACTCCCTTCACTGACTCAGCATTGAGAGTGGCCTTCAGTGCCACGGTCACCCTGACTGGAGCCCACCCCCAGATCCCCAGTAGTGCAACCAGAAATTCAGTGCCTCTGTCCACCCCACAAGGCCTGCAGAAGGGGATGCAGACCTCCTTCCAGCCCCCATGATGGCACAGCAGAGTGTCTGAATCTAGGTGCCCTTAGTCCCAGCCAGAGAGCAGAGATGCAGAACAGTGAGCAGGCATTTGGAGCAGCTGGCTCCAGCTCAGACCTGCCCCAGGAATGCCACCTGCAAGCTGAGTTCTCTCCAGTCCTGTTGGCCGAGTCAGGCTGGAGGCCAGCGCCTCTGCGCTATGGGAACTCACATCTTTGGGAGGCGACCCTTTGCCCTGTTGTGTTCCAGACATCAATGAATGTGGACCACCCTCGGCAGTGTCCTGTGGAAAATTCGCAGACTGCTGGAACACAGAGGGCAGCTACTACTGTACATGCAGCCCAGGATACAAGCTTGCTTCTGGGGCAAAAACATTCAGGGATGAGAGTGAGAACATGTGTCAAGGTAAGAATTGACTTGTGTCTTCCATCTCCTTGCCCACAAGGTTTGGAGTCACTTAGCTCACTTTCTCCAGGCATCAGAGAACATCCTCAGCACCTACCCAGGCACCCATATCTCTTTGAACTCCAAGGCTCAGAACCCTCTGTAGAAGGTCACTTCTGAAAGTTCAAAAATCCCCCTTGCTCCCTGGCATTTTCTTTTTGTGAAAAAAAAAAAGTGGCACTCAAGATATTTCAGGAGCTCCACAGCACACTGTTTCTAGTGCAAAATCCCTTCTCTTCACCATCATCAGTGATGGCCAGGATGAGACCTTTCCCCACCAGAGCCTACTTGGGCTTGGCCATGTTAGGAAAACTCTCAGATCTCTTGGGCCATGTTGGACCCAGGGACCCCATCCAGAAACACTGCAGTGGGAAGATGGGAGGGCCATCCCCCTTTCCTGGGCCTGCACTCTCCCTGGCCAACGATTTCAGCATCCAGACCCCTCTTCTCAGCTGCTGGGCCTCTGTCTATTTCTCTGAACAAAGCTTACCCTGACTCTCCCCAATAATTTCAGTCCACAATCCTGAGAGCAGACCAGATGACCAGGACCCAGGAGGATGTTGTGTGGTATCTACACAGAGTAACACGGACCCACCCGCATACACACACGGAGAATTGGGTGATGAGAAGCAGCTCCTGTCTAGACCAGATAGCAATGGAAGATATCATCGGAGACCAGCAAGTGAGCAGTTGCCCTGAGGGAATTAAAACAAAAGCCATCACTGGGAGCCAGACAGGATCCTGGTTGGGAAATCTGGCATATTCCCTGCACATGGTTCCCTAGAAGACCCACTCTGGTCTTTGTCCAAATGCTCAGGCTGGGATACAGATGACCATGATGTTCCCACCCTGGCTGAAAGCTGCCCAGGGAAGCTAAGAGCACTGGAGCTGAAAACAGGAGGATTCAGGCCAATTCCATCCATATCTGGACAGCTGAGCATCTGGGCCACCACATTCACCCATAACACACCTCTGTATGAATAAGAAAAGACACCCACTCACCAGGGAGGAGAGAGTGGGGCCTTCCTGATGCTTCTATGCCCATACTAGGGTCCCTGAATAACCAAATGACCACCTGAGAAGGTACCTGGCCCTGACCTGACCCCAGGCCCCTTCCCCCATCCCACACACAGATGCTCTTACACCTAATCAACTACTGTTATCCCCTGCAGGCATTTTTTTTCCCACCTGGACCCCACCCCATGGAATCAAGAGCCAGGTGAGTGGCCCCAGCTGGGACCAGGAGACAGGAAATCCTTCCTCAAAGCATGGGCTCCCCACCGTTCATGGCCGCCATTTTCCCCAAGCTTCTGCACCCACATTGAGGCTCTCTGACTTCCTCATCTCCCCTCTCCCTAGAGACTCTCCCACTTCTTTGAAAGAGTCCAAGATCTGGGCAGAAAGTTCATACCAGCCTTTGTCCAGGACACTATCCAGGTAAGGTCAGAATCCAGTGGAGACAAGTTGGAGGCATCCCATGAAGGTCCAGGAAAGCCTTGGTGTGGAAAGAGGCATTCCCAACACAGTGGTGGCCTCCCTGTGGCCCTGCCTCTCCCAGGGTGGGTGGGAAGAGCAGACATCCAGGTATTGTACTCACTGTTAGAAACCCACCTGTACCTACTAACAACCTTTCATCTTACTGTTCCTGGAAATTGGGTTTATGTCATCCTTGGCATTCATGAACATGATTAACCATGAGTGGCTGGATTCCAGGGCAATCCCAGGAAATCCCAAACAGATGACAGTCTCTAGGATCTTTATTCTGAGGCTAAGTGGACAGCCTCTTCATGCAGTCTGTCAGGCCCATCATGCACTATGTCTGTGTCCCCATCCGCCAGGACCTTGTACAGGGTGTGGATGAGCTGCTGGAGACCCCTGAGGACCTGGAGGCCCTGCCCCACTCAGAGCAGCACTGTGTGGCCACTAACCTGCTTGTTGGCCTGGAGAATGTCCTGAGAAATCTGAGCCAGGCCCTGCCCAATGGGACATTGACCTTCAACGCATCTGCAGGCACAGGTAAGTACTGAGGTCTGCCCCAGGCTCTGCTCTGCCTGTTCCCACCTCCTTTGTCCCCCAGCCTCACTGGAGCAGAGTGACTATGCTTGTATCTCAGTGTTACATGTATAAACAAATTAAAATAAGTGCTTAAAAAGAAATAAATAAATTATGCTAAGTAAAATAAATCATAGAAGGACAAATTCCAGGTGATCTCACTTATATGTGGAATCTTTTTTTTTTTTTAAAGATTTATTTATTTATTTATTTGAGAGAGAGAGAGAATGAGAGACAGAGAGCATGAGAGGGAGGAGGGTCAGAGGGAGAAGCAGACTCCCCGCCGAGCAGGGAGCCCGATGCGGGACTCGATCCCGGGACTCCAGGATCATGACCTGATGCCGAAGGCAGACGCTTAACGACTGAGCCACCCAGGCGCCCTATATGTGGAATCTTAAAAATAAATAAATAAACACACACACAAGCTCATAGATACAGACTGGTGGTTGCCATGGGTGGGTGAGAGGGGTGCTGGTGAGGCATGTGGGGGTGGGGCAGTAGGCTAAATGGGCGAAGGGGGGGTCAGAAGATATAAAATAAATAAGTCATAGGATGTAAGGTACCATGTGACTATAGTTAATAATACTATGTTACATATCTCAAAGTTGCTACAAGAGTAAATCTTGTAAGTTCTCATCTCAGGAAAAAAATTTTGTAACTGTGTATGGTGCCACATGTTAACTAGACTTCCTGTGGTGATCATCTTGCAATATATACAAATAATAAATCATTATGTTGTACACCTGAAATTAATGTCGATTATACCTCAATAAAAAATAAATGAATAAAACTATAAATAATATACATGTTAATATAAAATAAATTATGAGCAGATGAATTAATGATAATGAAGAATTTAAGATAAAATAGAAATGGCTTCCCAAGAAAACAATTTATTTAATTTGGAATAATATGAATTTAATATTATCTGATATTTAAGTGTTTCATTTGTTTTATTTGAAGTAAAATTCACATACCATAAAATTCACCGTTTTAAACAAAGTGTACAATTCAGTGGCATTTATTTTTTTAGGATTTATTTATTTATTTTAGAAAGAGAAAGAGTAAGAGCAGAGGGGAGGGTCAGAGGGAGAGGGAGAGAGAAACCTCAAACAAACTCCCCACTGAGCACGAGCCTGACGTGGGGCTCGATCCCATGACCCTGAGATCATGACCTGAGCCAAAACCAAGAATCCAATGCTCAACCAACTGGGCCACCCAGGCGCCCTAATTCAGTGGCATTTAGTATATTCACGGAGTTGTAATCATTGCCTCTATTTCTAAAATATTTTCATCACCCCTGAAGTAAATACTGTACCCCCCTCAGGAGTCACTCCTCATTCCTCCCCTCCCCCAGCCCCTGGACACCACTGGTCTGTTTTCACTCTCTATGGATGTGCTTATTCTGGACATTTCATATAGAGAGACTCATACACTATGTTGCTTTATAGTGTGGCTTCTTTCACTTAGCATAATGTTTTCAAGGCTCATCCATGTTGTAGCATCTATCAGTGTTTCATTATTTTTATGGCTGAATAATATTCCATTGTATATGAATACAACACCTTTTGTTCCGCCCTTCATCAACTGATGGACATTTGGTTTGTTACCTCCTTTTGACCATTGTGAATAGTACTACTATGAATATTGGTTCACATGTTTTTGTTTTAATAACTGTTTTCAGTTCTTTGGGATACACAATTAGGATTGGAGTTTGAGTTATATGGTAATTCTATGTTCAATTTTTTGAGAACTACCAAATTATTTTCCAAAGAGGTGATTTTTTTCATTTTCCATCCACACCAGCAATAGGCGCCAATTTTTACACCCTCAGCAACACTTGCTATTTTCCTTTTGTTTTGTTTCCTGGTAGTCTTTTCAGTGTATGTCAGGGGTTATCTCATGGTGATTTTGATTTGCATTTCCCTGATGATTAATCATGTTTCCCATCATTTTGTGTAATTGTTGAACATGTGTGTAACTTTTTTGGAGAAATGTCTATGCAAGTCCTTTGCCTATTTTTTAATTCATTGTTTGGCTTATGGTTGTTGAGCTGTAAGAGTTCTTTATATATTCTAATATTAGACTTTATGAGACATGTGATTCGCTAATTTTTTCTCCCATTCCATAGATTGTCTTTGCATTTTCTCTGTGGTCTTTTCACTTTAATGAACATTAAAGTGATGAAATCCATTTTCTCCATTTTTTCTTTTGTTGTGTGGGCATTTGGTGTCATATCTAGGAATCCATTGACAAACCCAAGGTCATGAAGATTTACACCTGTGTTCCTCCTTCCTAACTAGTTCTAGTTCTAGTTTCACCTCATAATTGTAGGTCTTTCATATGAATGGATAAAGAAGATGTAGTGTATATATACAATGGAATATTACCCAGCCATCAAAAAGAATGAAATCATTTTTTAATTTATTTACTTTTATTTTAATTAACATATAATGTATTATTGGTTTCAGAGGTACAAGTCTGTGATTCATCAGTCTTATATAATACCCGGTGCTCATTATATCACATGCCCTCCTTAATATCCATCACCCAGTTACCCCATCTCTCCACCCCTGTCCCCTCCAGCAAGCCTTAGTTTGTTTCCTCTGATTAACAGTCTCTTATGGCTTGTCTTCCTCTCTGGTTTCATTTTGTTTTATTTTTTCCTCTCTTCCCCTATGATCCTCTATTGTATTTCTTAAATTCCACATATCAGTGAGATCATATGATACTTGTCTTTCTCTGATTGACTTATTTTGCTTAGCATAATACCCTCTAGTTACATCC